TATGAAAGCGAGAGGGCTGAGACGTCTGACCTGTGTTCGAGCTTTTGAGATTTATTATACAAAATGGCGAGAGATTTCTATTTTCATAGTCGAAAATCATGGTGTGACCAATATTGATGCCAGGTATATGTCTTTGTTCGTTCTATGTGCCCAATTCCCACTATTGAAGAGACCTCGCCGGAGGTGTTCGAATGTTGACTCCGCGGAGCTTCCATTGAACGACATAGGCAATAGCAAAGGAGGTGATGAAGGCGGAGAGCCCCTAGGGTTTAAGACCGGGGTTTTCGCTAATACCACCTTATATAAAGATAATAAATAGATGAGCTATTGTTGATATTAAGACTATATGCACTTATATTGATTCCAATTCTATAACCTACAAAGCTAATATATTTCTAAGGATATGTCTTGTTATAGAAGGTTAGTTTAATTTCAAACTAGAAAAAAGATAGAATATTAAATTAATACTCACGTCTTATATTCTTGAGTCAGTTTAGGTAGCAATTATGCATAAAGCGTAGTTTACTTAGTGTTCTTAAATATATGATACGGCCCCGGCGGATTATTCCGTCGGCGGCTGGTCTTAGTGATGTAGACTGGATCGTAATATATGATCTATATATAATATCAGCTTAACTTAGCGTGGGAACCTTTTTGTTGCGTCTGGACGCCACTAGCACCGAGAGCGGCTTGGGTCCACCCGATGTGACCCTACAGATTCTCAGCCCAAATTAACGGTCTAGGCCTGTCTTTCGGCTGACTGTGTTTATGAGTGCCGACCCCCTGGCTACCTGTAACTTACTTCTTCCTCATCCTTCTGTCGCTAAATGTGGCTGCGATTTCTGTCTCTTTGCCTCAACTAACCCTGTGCTCCTGAGAGATGGAGAATTTTCGAATTCATACATTCTCCGCTCTACCCTCTCAACCACCACGGCCGCAATCTACACGGAATCCACACTCTAAGGTCCGTACCGGTTGTACTATATGTGAGCCTACCCGCGCATCGACCGTCATGGAGCAACAACGCTGCAGATGCTAATCATAGACTGCCAGGCAAGTAAGAAGTGCTTGGATCCGCTCTTTACTGTCTATGCACAAGAGTTGACTGTCTTGGCCGGCGTTTCCTAGGCAGAGGCGCGTGAAATGTGACGAAACCAGACCATCTTGTCTCCGTTGCATCAAGCGGAAAATCACATGTAGCGGATTCCAGGCGACCAAAACGCAAGTTGGCTCTTGTCGAACCCTCGTCCCAACCGTCAAGATCCCTTCGATTCGATCCTCACCAGGCTCAGCAATATTCCGCTCTGAATGGGAGAAGGTCTATTTCGAGACCTGGATCTCGGCCAAGACTGAGCTCTGTGGAGATGAACTCTTCGACGTATTTTCCGTCATGGTCACGCAAGTGGCAACTGAAAACTGCCTCTTGTTGGAGGCCGTCCTGGCGCTCGGGGCGCTCAAGATTGCGCTGATTCAACAGACTGATCTGCTTCCGATGGAACAGTCAAGATCAAGCGTGCATTATCGTACAGCGTTATCGAGATACGGCAACGCAATGCGTACCTTGGTTGCCGTAGCCGCCAACGAGGATACAATCAGCACCATTCTCCAGTGCTGCATCGTCTTCTTCTGCTTCGACCTACTGGACGGAAACCACAAGGCAGCACACGTTCACATTCACTATGGAACTCGAATCCTCCGAAACTTTCTGAGGGCTAGATGCCCCGGAACGGACCTCGATATCTGCGCCAACTCTCCTGCGCCCTATCTCATTGATGGTTCAATGGTTCACATCTTCCAAAGATGCAATTCCGTCTCATACGTACATCTCGCGCCCAGAAGGCCGTGTCAGCCGTCCGAACCACAGCTCGACACAGGAGTTGACACATCTACAACTCTCAAGACAATCTTACCCCAATCCTTCTCTAGCGTAAAAGAAGCGGTCAGATGGCTGGACCTAATCCAGAACGCCCTCTTCGCCCCCGTCATTGCCTCGAAACAGCCGTCAACCTTGGAGGACAGGTGGAAAACAGCAAGGGGGCGCTTTCTGGAGATTCTGGAAAATTGGGCCATTGCATTCCGGCCCCAGGCAGCGCGGGAAGTGCAGGCCGGCGGCAACAACCCCCGAACGAGAGAGCAGGTTATAGCGACGGAGATGCAGTGGCACAACGCCTACATCTTCGTCTACACCTCGCACTACCATCACTACCCGAGTCTAGTGGAGATGGAGTCAAGATTCAGAGCCATCGTGAACTTGGCTAATCTCCTGACAGATCGGCCACACCGAGTCAAGCCGGTCATACCTTTGACTATTTCTGGTTCCCTTCTTCCTCTTTTTGGTATGTCTTAATGCAAGATCTTCTCGGGACCTCTCTGCTAAACGCTGGGAACAGTAGTAGCGAATAAATGTCGGAATGCCGAGGTACGGCTGGCCGCAGAGAAGGCTGTTCATCGGCTAAATCACCGGGTGGAAGGACTCTGGGATAGCCGTGCAGCCCTGGTCCTGATTGAATGGGCCAGGAGAACAGAGGATGCATATGTGGCCCAGTTCGACGACTCCGAGACGGTGTGGACAAGACTTCGTGGCCGATACATCCTTTTCGGTGGCCGGCAGGGTGACCAGCCGAATCAGGCAGTTGTCGGGTCTCAAGTCCTTGAGGACGGGGAGTGGGTGTATCACGAGGAGACATTAACGTGGTGATTTAGTCATCTGGCATATCAACTGTAGAACTGGACTTGTGCCAACTCGCCTCCGATGATGGAAAGGCTGGACCTGCATGCCTTGGATGAATGCAACCCGGAGCCAGCCGTACCCGCGGTGTCCATCACGTAGTACAAAGGCCAATGGCGGACTAGAGTAATTGCTTGCAGGTCGTTGAATGCCCCACGGCTGCTATAATGCCGAGACTCGTCGATGAGTCGCGGTATGCTGTGCTGATAACGCCGCCGCCTAAGGTTACAATGCAACTTCAAAGCAGAAGCGGACAAGACTCTAGGAATGCTGATTGAGCCATTAACACTCTTAGAAGTTCCAGGTATCAAATATGAACACTGCTTTGGCATGACTACAATCTACGTTCCTGCCGGCACATAGGGCCTCTTGATTCTTCTCTATATTGGCCTGTCATCTATTGCGACCTAATATGCATGACCACGAACAGTACTTACCCCGCAGGTTTCCAGCGGCTACGACGCACCATACATACATCATACTCAGGAGCTCAGGGAGCACTCCTTGGTTCAGAAGAACTAAAGACAAATCACGTCCAGATGAAAAGTTAGCACACGACAAGGTGGACACCATAAGTAAGCGCTAACCAGGATTCACCCAGCAATGGCCAGGAAACATGGTATTCGGACAATAAAAGACATGTTCAAAATCGAAACTTGTATACATAATGAACTTAGACCGTGCTCAAAAATAGATTCCTACAGCTTCTTCACCAACCAACCTCGTATCCGGTCTCAAGATCACTTTCAGCTATCTTCACTTGGGAGCCCCTCTAATAAATCTATAGTCAATCGCTGAAACCTCGCCCCTAAGACCTTCGACTATCGAAGTTAACTTCTCTAAAGGTATCTGACGACTCCAAAGCCGTTTGACGAGTCTTGAAGCCTCAACATCTGCTGACATACGTCGATACGACTTACTGGCCATAACACCGGCGGGGCAGGCCCTGGTCTTGGTCATGCATGTTGGGTCGTAACACTAACATATCAAGCCTTATTTTAACCCACTTACTTCAGAAAACTAAAAAAAGAACAACGACCAGATATGACCGGCATATCTACTCAATCGAATTTGTCCAAGTGGTGCAATAATGCACCGAATCCACAGCATATTGCTGGATGCCTAATCCTATGCTGAGCCGCTAAAAACCTGGTTTGTCCAAAATAGGAAATCTCGTTGCCTTAGCCAATCACCCCACGATATCATCTCCTAAAAACGCCTAAGTCGAACTCTAATGGTCCCTTGTGAAACGGGTCATTCCCAGGTGCCACAATGACACTGAGCTTATTCATACCCAGCGCTCAATCTGCATTTACCAACAGAACCTGCTTCCACTTTCGTCCTAGATTGATGGAGAAGATTGGGCTTCCTGGTCTGAAGCATTGCGATATGTCCATGAAGCTTTATCTGTCCATGTCATATGCAGTGAGTCTTGTTACTAAGCTGCTTGGTATGAGTATTGAGCGAAACCTTTACAAAAAAAAAAGTGGCAAGAGAGATGGAAATGAGCAGCCCATGTCTGCACCAAGCTACTATCATCTAGAGAGGATCCCATGAGGAATGAACTTTTCTGCGTGCTTATATGCCTAAAATACAATGAAAAGCGATGTCCAATCCTGGGCTCCACGCTGAGGTTCACCGTGCCACTAGCTTTACTTTTCTTTTCCAATTTTCTTATACAGGTGATAGGGCTGAAGAGCCCATATACAGGAGAAATCTCTGTAGAACTTTCAACCGTACACAGGTTCATTAGTTTGCAGCATCGGAGTCTATGATTCCTGTGGTAAACTCTCCGGACTTTGAAGATCCTTCAGTAAGCAAAGTGAATGGTAACTGGCTTGGCGTACGAGGTTTCCTTTCCCGCCCACTGGACCGAACCAGACTCAACACTTCCATGGTTCCCCTGGGAGATGAGCGTCATACGAACCCTGGCTTGCAGCACAAGTCTTCAGCTATCTAGCCAGACTGTTCGGCGCTCATCAACCACGGAGCAGCATCACGATTCCAGCTTAGTGGCCATAAACGATAGAGGCGGCTTTCTGCATGTAAGCACCAGATGATAGATGTTGTGGGAGCTCGTGATGGAGCCATTTGAAATACAAGGGTCTCAGAGGTCGATCTCTCATGAACATTCTTGTATATAAATACAGTCTTGGTCGCCCGACGAAATAGAACGAGTAACCCTCATCTTCATATCAGATCCTCCTAATCTGCCTCTTTACTAAATCTTGCCATACCTCAAGTTCGAGATCTTTTACTTAAATAAGACATCATGTTGTCCAACGTCGCCCTCATCCTAGCCGCCGTCGCCGCCGCACCAGCCGTGCTTGCTCAACCTATCGAGCCCGCTGCCAATGTCTCCCCTCGCCCTGTCGACCTCGCTACTCTTTGGGGCATTGTTGCCACCGAGAAGGCTGTCAGGGATGTGCGCAGCGATACAGCCAAGATGAAGCGCCAGAATCCGGGAAACATCTGGGCGTGTGACAATATCGGCTTCCAGCAGCCTTGCTCTGCTTACTCTGTTCCCAACGGCCAGTGGTTCAATATCGAGGGCCTGTCCTTGAACAATCGTATCTCCAGCATTGGAAGTGACTGGGGAGCGAATTGCTGGGCTTGGGAGTATGTCATGTCCATTCTTGTTGTTTTTCCTTTTTGAATTTAGCTCAAGGCCCTTTCCCGTCACCTTTCCATTCACTTCGGGGTTTCCAAGACTAACAATCTCTTTGCGGTAGCCACTTCGACGCCAATGGCTGCTGGAACGAAAATGGGACACCCGCTCTCGACATCACTTATCCCGGACTTCGAGACCTCACTAGCCTTGGCTGGAACGACAAGATTGGATGCATCAAGTGTAATTTCTGGGCGTGATCGGTGGCGTCCTGCGCAGCCCTGATAAGGACTGACGGCCTGTGTTCGTTTCTTGAGAGTACTTGCAAATCTTGTGCGATGCGTCTACTTCTTCTAGCCTCAAGATTTGCTCATCTTCAGGGCACACACCTCTGCTCGTATGGCGGCTCTCGACCTAGAGGAAGAAAAGGAGCAATGGGGCAAGGGTCAGAGTGAAAGTTTTCAGACTGGACGTAGCAAACATCGTTTCTCTTGTACTTAACTTTTCTCTTTCGTAGATCCTGGCAATTTACTCGAAGCCTTTGAATTATTTTGCCAAATTTCCTTGATACAGAAAGTGCGTAGATGTCAGGGAAATGAGAAAGATACCCAGAGAAGTTTGTTATTGGGCAGTAATCCACTTTTCCGGCCTATCAGGCCTTCTCGTGGAACCTTAAATCTAACGACCTCACGGATGGGAGCATTAAACTCAGATGCGGACGAGTTTCCGAACATACACAGGACACTGGGCACCTCAGCTATAAAAAGCAATAGAGCCCGAAGACAATATCGTCCAGCCTTCCCAAGGCGATCGCAGAGAAGAACTCGGTTAGGCAGCGGACCTTTAATCTGCAGAGCTCTCCCTTGTTGGCTTCAAGGCGGATGCCGGCCAAGACGACTTGAGGGATACACGATGACAACAAACGCCCACAAAAGGTAAGAGGGTTCACACTACAGAATTTACCTTCGACATCCCAGACACCATAAAGGCCAAAGAGGCGATGATCCAGGAAATGCTGTTGGAGAATGTTACTACTTTTCCAGCCATCTTAAGAGTCGGCCGCACATGTGAGGAAGCCCCCAGCCCGCGTCATCAGATACCAACCAAGAATCGGAACACCCACTCCGCAGCAACACCCGCGTCGTCCTCCCTCCTGGTCCCATCGAACGCCCGCTGTAGGAACTCTGGCGAGAAACCCTTCTCGGGCGTGTAAAAGTGCTTAATGGTCTCTTCCATGATGACCTGGTCGCACTCGAAATGGGGTTGGATCGTGAGGACGCGAGAGGGCTCGTATAGGCCCTGGACCATGCAGTGCGCGCTGCCGCCAATGTTTTGCCAGGTTCCTGGCAGAGGCGGGTTAGGTGGCGGGGCGAGGGCGACGTGGTCACCGTGGCACATTTGTAGGCGGAGACCGTGAGGGGGTGCTGATGAAGAAGGAGAGTCTGAGTCCTGGTTTGCGTCTGTTATCGTTGTCGACGAGGCGAGGGCGGCCAGGCAGGGAAAGTCCTCCACGAGTTTCGGGTTCAACGAGATAGTCTGGACGCCAAACTCGTAGCCGTTGGGGTCCTTTTCCACGACGGCGCCGTGGGGCTCGAGGAGGACTTTGCCGATGAGCTGGTGGCCGAAGCAGGTGCCAAAGATGCGGACGTTGGGGTGGTGCTCGTAGACGCGCCGGATGAAGTCGCCGAGGCGGAGGACCCAGGAGTCCGTGTCGTAGGCGGCGGCGATGGAGCCCGTGATGAGGATAGCGTCGACGTCGGCTGGGCTCGGGTAGTGGCCTGCGACGACGTCCCAGGTCGTGAAGGTGGCGAGGTGGGAGGCTCCGATGCGGGTTGCGGCGGCGGTGAGGCGTTTGATGTATTGGGCGCTGTAGTATTGTCCGTAGAGGGTTTGGACGGCTGTGACCATTACGTCGGTGTCTAGGATGGCGATGTGTTTGGGTTTGTCTGCCTTTGGAGGTGTTGCTCCTCCTGACGCACTGGCGATCGCGCCCCCGGATCCTGTTTCGGGTATAAGTCTATGAACCACGTGTTGTTGGGGATGTTGGGCTGACCTTGCAAGTCTTCTTCTCTCATTTTGGGTGATAGACGTCTGTCTTACTTTGATTTGGTATCCTACGGGACGAGTAAACACAATTACCTTCAACCGGAATCTCAAGTATGAACAAATGCCAACTGTGATTTGTTGGGCGCTGTGAGTGAAGTCGTGAAGTCTCGGCAGCTGCTCCGAGTCAGATCTTCGGAGGAGATTTGTCACGGGATCCACGTTTCGGGCGTCAACGCCGGCGTCGGCGTTGGTGCCGAACTTTTGCTGCGATCCACCGGCGGCTGGTCTAGAAATCACTTGCGACGCACGACATCGACCATGAAAGGTATCAACTCAAAACTGAAATGTATATCCGAGAAGAGAATTATGTGAGACTACCGCGTAATTGTTTAGGTGTCTATCAACTACATACTATCGTGCCCACATGCTGGATTGAACATGAGCAGCTCACTTCTCAATACTTGTACCCCGACTTCTTCAAAATCGTCTCCAAAAGCACATGGTTCTTCAGAGCTGTCTCAAAGTCCGCATACCGTGAAGTATCGCCTTTGGCGTAGGCGTCAAAAATGAGGAGCGTGTTCAGTCCCGCGGCCGAAACCTCGACTCCGTCAGGGAGCTTGCCGGTCTCGAGAACGACCTTTTGTTCTTCTCCTCCGACTAACTTGTACTTGAGCTGCTTGCTGGGGCTGTGAATCTGCCACTGGCCTCCGTTCCAGACGGCCTCGATTTCCCCCTTGGTGCCGCTGATGATCCAGCGAGCACCGACCTCACCGGCCGTGACCGGGGTGGTTCGGCAGGCAATCGAGGCCACTGCCCCGTTTTGCAGCACGCCTTGGACCAAGATGTGATCGGGAGAGGACTTTGGGTACGCTGGGTCGATCACGCTGCTTCTGTCGGCTTTGTATAGGGGGACGGAGTCGACGTCGCTCTTTAGAACTGACGACAGGCTGCTGAGATCGAAGTCGCCAACAACGTTTGTGAATGAGTCCAAGACTATGTTCCAAGAATATCAGCCTTCGATATTACCAACTTCGTCAGAATCTTCCAACAGAGATGGAGTAACTTACAATGCCCAAAGCCGATGTGGAATGCGTTACCTCCGGTTTTGATATCGAGATAGTACTCCGCACCCTCCACCCAGAAGTTGGGAGGAAAGTATGGGAGAGTGCCGGCGACAGAAGTGTGCTTGATCTCACCAATCTCCCCACTCTGAATGATCTCCCTCAGCTTGAGAGTCAGAGCGTCAGAGCGACCCTGGAGACCAACAATGGTCTTGAGTCCGCCTGACTTGGCCAGCTGCGTGAGCTGTTCCGCCTCCTGCGCCGAGGCGCCAAGGGGCCACTCGACAAAGACTTGCTTCCTGTTGGCGAGCGCGGGGAGGGTGACGGCGAGGTGCTTGGTCACGACGACGCTTACGACGACGAGGTCCACATCCGGGTCGCTGGCCAGCTCCTCGACGTCGCCGTATGCTTTGGTCGTGCTCGGAAGCTTATGCATCTCGATGGAGCGGCGGGCTGCTTCCGCGGACGAGTTGCAGAGGGCGACAATCTCGTAGTGTAGCGAATTCTTGAAGGAGGGGAGGATGGTGATGGAGGCCCAGGCGCCAGGGCCCATGACTGCCTCCTTTGCGGAGAGTCCGATGATGCCTACTCTGATGGGGGCCATGATCGCTGGTTGGGAGTTTAGGTGGAATGAAAGATGAGTTTGGTGTAAGTCCTCTGTTCAGTGAATGAGATTGCAATGCTGAATATTCAGGGCCTTGATTATCACGGCATCGTTCTTTATATCTACCAAGAACTCATCCATCTTTGTCCAGACAACCTACCAATAACATCTGGCGGCTCATGTAAGCGGTCGCCGGCGGGCCTGATGCAGTTGATTCAGCGCCTTCTCGCCTGGATGCCCGATTCGTCGGATTTCCGAAAATGAATCTGCGTGGCTTCACACCGCGACATGGCGGAGATGTCGCTTCGTCCCGAAGTCTATCATCCAAACGTATGCTTGTGCCCGGGGTATCATTGTCATCCCCGCGGAGCGGAGTAGTGGGGTGGCTTCCGGACACGGCGAGCCGGTCATCAGTGATTGGCTGGAACTCCGCGGAGTGATGACAAACCCCGAGATTGAACCAGGTCCAGCTGAACCTAGATTCTACGCGCAAACTTGACCTCGTCATTTTGCTTAATGGTTGATTCAATTCATATCTCTGGCGTTTTACTCGAGATGACGTTGGCTGCCAGCCGGAAAAAGTCTTGCGTTCTGTGCCGGACCAGTAAGGCGAGGTGTTCGCTCGGGACACCATGCCGGCGCTGTGAGGAAAGGGATTTGAGGTGTAGATACGACCACGTCCCCAAGCAATCAGCTGGATACCGATCACTGCGTCCGGCCGAGACAATCGCCGACCGCGGTATTCACGGAGCAATTGATCAGCTGCCCAATGGCACGGAGTCACTGATCCGCATCGAGAGAGACGGCCTGCTTCCGGGGGACCACCCGCGGCCCGAACGTGAACCGTCGATGGACTGGTCGAACCTCTTGTCAACGGAAATTGCGACGATCCCTTTAGACTCTGACCCTATTTTACAGAGACAACTCCTAAGTCCAAATCCCTTCTCCTTGAGCTTCGACTCGCCTCAACTTCGCCAGACGGTGCTTGGCGGTGCCGGAGTTCCGTGGCAGCGAAGTAACTCGAGCCTATTCGGACCAGAGGACCTTGGTGATTTAGGCGTCATGGAGGACACGGAATATCAAGGTCACGAACATCCTTCAAGTGAAATCCAGTTACACAGGGCTTTCAGGGATTGTCCGGCAAGAAAAATCCGGCCATTCTATCAAGACAAACCCCTCGTCCCGCGAATTACTAAAACGGTGGCAACATGCTTCACAGCCAGAGTCCTCCTCGGCCAGATCTTATCTTATCCCAAGATGATGATCAAAGGTGGCCGGATGCCCCCTTTCATATTCCCACCCTGCGCCATTGATGGATCTGAGTCAATAGTTGGATGTTGTGGCAAGGAGCTTCACCAGTGTCTTCCAGAGCCGCTAGCCATCTGCTGCAACCTCGTGCAAAGCTTTTACCAGAGGACTCCGGGAAGCGCGGCTTTTGTTTGGAGGAGTATATACAGTGAAGTAGGCAGGATCCGGCAAGAGGTGAGAGGTCAGCGCTTTGCCACGAGTTGTCATCTCACTAGTTAACATGAGGTTGAACAGCATTCTTCTTATAACAGCGAACAGATGTTACACGCTCTCCAGGCCGTGGTGATATATCTGCTGCTTCAGGCAAATGACCTCCAATCAATACAAGAAAGCAACATCAAAGCGCTACTAGTGGTACCCAATGTAAGAAGCCAGGAGATAGCCAAGTATTATTGCTAACCAGAGCAGCTGCTAGCCAGGTCGCTGCACCTGACCCTGAATTACGAACTCGACCTGATCAGCAAGCTAAGTCTAGATCGTCGAGGCTGGATTCTTCGTGAGAGTACCAGGAGGTGGGTTTCGAGAGACTGAGTCAATCTGAGAAGTTTCGCTAACAGCAAGGGACCGCAGGACAATCTGCCTTCTATTTGGCATTGAGCTTTTGATGGACGTGGATCTGAACGCAGAGGAACCGGCGGATTGCGGTGGCTATAGTCTCCTGCCACTGCCCTCCGGCAGAGATTTGTGGGAAGCCGTGTCCAGTGACGAGTGGCGTGCACGATACAGGAGGCTACGAGCCGAGTCGTGCGGTGAAAAGGTTCTGAGCATCCAGGATCTTCGAAAGGCTAGACGGGCTTTGGGGGCGGACTCTGAAGATCGAAGCCAGGAGGACCAGTTGGTAGCCCGAGTCGCAAAGTGGTGCGAGGGGATCGATGAATTCGGGATGATGGTCTGGATGGCTGTCATGCTAGAGTGATAGCATGCAGAAGAGCAGGGCATCGTACGAGAGAGTTCGTGCTCCAAAAGAAGCGATGTGTTAATGGTATATATACCCACTCTGAGTTATCCAGAGTTCTCCCGCTCCGCTTCCGCGATGTCGCATGGTTTCGGTGGCTGTACTACGGCGCCATCTCCTCCGATTTGAGGAGCACGTTCGAGGCGATGACCGGGGCCCTTGCCATCGCTGATCGATATGGTCTTCGATTTTCTGATAGGCAGTGGATGAAGAAGGTCCTGGAAAGAAGTGACCTTCAAATACAGTTTGTCGTTGCTCTCCTCAGTCTCGGAGTATCGCGTTACGAAGAGTGAGAAGCTGAGATTCCCGTGCGAAAGGTCCACTGCCTGACGGCCATCAATGATGAATTGCTCCATCAAACTAAAGGCTTCAATGGGTTGCCCCCGGGCACCACTGCTCTCGTGATCTTTTATCTGCGACATAATGCCGGCACGGCCGGTTGCTTCTTGTAAAGGGATCAAGGCGTAACGTAAAGGCTGTAGAGCAGAAGAATGTCGCTGGCAAATAAGACACACCTCACCGACCTTGACAGTCTTAAAATAGACGCTGTATGAAGTGATGCAAGTAAATAGCTTTGATCCGGGCAGGGCATATTGCTGTCTCTGTGACTGCCACAAGTTCTTGGGCCAGGTCTCCATCATCTCCAACGAGAAGTTGGCCGGAAGTAGGGACCTGTCGATGCTCAGAGTCTCCGCCATCTTGGCCTGCAGATTGATCGACATACGCTCATCCACGTCCTTGGCGATGTATATGGTTTCCTGCTCGTGCCGTGTGGTACGCGAAGGGATGATCGTAGTAGGAAGCTCTCTGACGTAGATATTGTCCCGGTGGTATCGTAGCGGTATGAAGACAACATAGTCGTCTGGGAAAAGCGTGCATCTTAGACACGTTCTGTTCTCGCCATGAACAAAGAAACTCGCCAAAGTTGCATCCATTCGAATCCCCTTGTTGGTCGATGAGAATTCCTTCTCTTGCTCGCACATGGCCCAGCTGATGGATTTTCGCGAGGTAGATTCTGTATCGTACCATGACGCGAATTCCGATGGATGGCGGGCTAGCAACCCGCGGTACTGCTGCGAGGCTTCCTGCGGCGCGGTCCAACAGAAGAGAGACATGTCAGTGCTGTTCTTAAGAATTTCTTCCTGAAGTCGCATGAAAGCTCGCGACCCCTCTCCATAGAGCAAGGGCATGTTCACGCGGAAGAGACCGAGCAGGCAGTAGGCCATGTCTTCGACCCGGGTTGTCCGCCTCTTTGACGCCCAAGACATTCTCTCCGCAATGGAAACTTCGGTGATTGCCGCGCTGTTTTTGAGTACTCGGGCAGTCTTGCCATGTATCCCCGTCATCGCTGACAATTGTCGCAGGACGGCGCTGTCGGTCTTGAAGCCGCGCGAGTTCCATTCGCAGTCGAAGAACTCGAGCGTCTTGGGCGCAATGAGCTCTTGAAGGGTCCACCCGCGTTCGAACCAGCGACACGCGCGCTTGTGTATGCCAGACGCAAAAATCCATAGCGTGGGAGACTCAACAGGTAAGTCCGCGAGATGAGCAAAGCAGATGGCTGAAAGCTCGTACCACTCGAACATTGAGTTGATCGCCTCCGAGAGTTCGGCACTTGAGGATTTGTCGATACAGCAGGTGTCCACCCATGCCCACTCCAGACCATTCTGCCTGGCGAGCTCGCATGTCTTCCGGATTTTGGTGTAGCCGGCTTTTTCTTTGGCAGTATTTAGACCTGCAAGCTCCTGGAAGGTCACTTCTCCGGATCCCCAGGTATGAGATAGTATGGCGTACGGTGGGAGGTCTGGAGGCATGAAAGCATGAAGCTTCAGACTCGTGGTGTCGATGAGCCACATGGCTTACGGCTGTGGTATTTCATGGCCTGATGGGTGGATGATCAGAGCGAAAACAAGAGGTGGAGGTTCTTTAGGCGACTGTACGCAAACACGATGCAGCTAATAATACGACGGTAATCTCAGTTGGGATGACATCCTGCCTAGTTCTGCCGAACCCCTGCATGGTCAAGGATCGCTGCACCTGGCGGTCTCCAACACTGCATTCCCGCTGACTTGTGATTCTACCAAGTCCTCAGAACTGCCACCTATTGTGACATAGGTTGGTCAAGGCATCGCGGTAGACTCGTGCACCAAGTACAGCGTGAGCTTCAGAGGCACTATCGTTCAGCAGAAGCATTTGAGTATAAACCAGTAGATGGGTGCAGTGCCCAATTCTATCTAGAAATTGATACTGGAGTAGTGTATATCCGAAACCCCTCTGAGCACACATGTAGCGAGACGACAGCAATCTATATCGACTCGTTCGTAATCTCATGGCCTTGTCAGTACGCAAATCTCCAACCCCTTTCGACCCCCGAGTTCTCGGAGTAACCCTCAGCTTCATCCAGTTTCTTATTCAGACGGATCGCACGCCACTTCGCCAAGCCAGCTGACGTTACAACCAGAGCACAACCCACCAGTACAAGACCGCCGCCTAGTCTGTAGAAGGGCTCCTGCGAGCGCGGCCAGAAGTATGGACTGAACCAGTGACTGACCTGGCTGATACAGTTGGCGATTGCAATGAGTGCGGCCTTCTTGCTCCGAGGGGCTGGAACGACAGTTGTTTCCCACGACAGCTGCAGGTTGAGGCCGTTATATGTGCCGGAAATAAGGAGGAAAAGACCAAAGTAGCGAGCTCCAATGTTCATGGTTGAGATCAGGACTGCACAGCCAGCCGCACTGCCAATGATAGGTAGGACGATGTGCCAGAAAGACTCTTGATTCCGACCTGACGACCAGGCAACAGCATATGCAAACACAAATGCGAACGCATACGGGGGAGCTTGAATGAAGTACGTTGTGAGTTCGCCAAAGTCAAAGGTGTTAACGATCTAGGCATGGTCAGTCATGAGAACCCTGGAATGAACTCTGACAGCTGGGGAATCAGAGAGCTTACCGAAGGGAAGAAGTCTTTAAAACTTTGGGCAGTGACCAGGGAGAAATGCAACAGGCAGAAGATCCAGGTGAAAGGGTCTTTGACAGCATCTCTGAGACCATCCCAAGTGCCTCCGGCAGCTTCCTCTTTGCCTCCATTGGAGCACAGGATACGGTACTGCGCCATATCTCTCTCCTCAGGAGTCAGAAACCGCGTGTTGTGGGGCCAGTCTGGGAGGAGAACGTAGGCAGAGAAAGCCACCAGGAACGTCACGATGCCTTCAATGAGAAAGAACCACTGCCAGGAATACAGACCCGAGACACCACCCATTGTAGTGAGAATTCCTGCCGCAAGGAAGCCTGAGATGATGTTGGATATGGTGTTTCCCGCGTGCCAGATGGCCATTCTGAGAGGACTCTCCTCCTTGGTGTACCAGGAGGAAGTCACTACCCCGTGTCAGCACTGATCAAAAGCTGACCATCGGGGTAGATGTTGCACTTACTCAGTGTGATTCCCGGAAAGAACGGCGCTTCAGCCAGACCGGTGAAGAAGCGCAGAGCGGCGAAGCCGGCACCACTAGATGAGAGTCAGTAAACTCCATAGAACTTGTGCTCTCTGCGTTTCTCCCTGACCTTTTGAGGGCGGGAGTGCAGATGGTTGCCGCTCCCCAGGCCACCATCGTTGAGGGTAGAAACCATCTTGGATTTGCCTTGGCCAACCACAAGTTGCCAGGTAATTGTCCAACAAGATAACCGATGTAAAAAGTTGAGATGCCCAAGTTCCACATGGTGTCTGACATATGTAGGTTATCCTGCATCCCACTGAGTCTTGCGTTGGAAACATTGATGCGGTCGAGATAACTGGAAAGTTGATTTCGTGTTAGTAATGGACCCCTCGCCATCTGAGTTTAACTTGCCTCATGAGAAACATGAGCGTTATACAAGGCATCATCCTCATATCAATCTTTCGTACAATGCTCTTGTTGAGCCTTGTCATATCGATTTCGCTTAACTCACGAAGATGTTCGAAACGGCTCTGGATATCTCTAGGAGTTATGTCGTATTGCTGGCTTAGCTTCCCCACGGAGGGATCAGAAGACTTGGTGGGGTCTTCAAGCTCTTCAAATTTTGTGGCATCTTTGCTAGCACATTCTACCACCGCTCGACCTTCATCGTTGGAGATCATGGTAGTTCTCTTGAGTAGTGAGTCAAATCCAAGTCTGTGGAAGCTTGAAATTGCTTATAAGCGTGGTTGATATCTTTGAGTCTTGACTTCCTACTCCCACCCAGCTCTCCAGCCTGTGACATTGTTTTATACTTATACGACTTAGACTGGCGAGCTCATCTATCCATGAGCTTGTCCGGGAAGCTTGGCAATCCGGGGACTCCAGACTACCCCGCGTCGACATCGTTCATGGATCCGTACTAGGGTGAGACGGGAACGGGAGTAAGCAGCCTGCTCCCGCGGGAGGTCGGGCAGTCGAGTGGGCGCAGCAGGCTACTCTCACGGAACAGATGCTAGCGATGTGAAGTGTTTCCTGAGATGCCGAAAAATCCTCAGGCCACGTCTAGTTCACCACTCTTCCCGTCTTCTCTGTCACCACTTCATCATCTCTGCTCTTATGCAGCTGCGTCAGACTCGCCTATCCGGAACCAATGCCCCGCTTGCCTTTAGTAGCCCTGAACTAATCTAATGGTTTGAATCTGGGGAAACCGGGAATTTTCAACACAAACACAAGCCTGTATCAGACCTAGCCAGGATTTTGTAAGGCAAACATTGACATGATTCGGATGTGCTGAGGCAAGTTGAGTTAGTCAAGAAGCACAGCTTTCGAAGACTTCTTGCATTTCAGTGGGGCTGCTACTCGTCCAAGGACTGCGTGCTTTTGATAATAACACGGAGAGAACTGGTGCGAAATCCTACAGAATTCCTTGATTTGCCACGCCGAGATTTCTCAACGGCTTAACAGGCCAGATACTTTCTCGTATACAGTGAAGACAATTCCTCCGCTCAGAATCAGACGACCAAGTCTCATGGTGCTTCCACTCCACAGGCCCCTTAAGCCTCTTTCCGAAAGCACCATACGGAGCGCTTCCAGTGTTCCAGCCCCTCGAGCTGACTGCGCTCTAGTCTTGATAGTGTCGAAAGGTTGTGTAGCATAGACAGTGACAATGCCAGCAACCGACCCTGATCCAAAAGTGATCAGTGAGTTGTTCGGTAAGCCATGTTGCTTAGACTGTTCCCTGATCACATTGTATGATCCCATGCGTACCGCTGAGGTGGCGGATTGCTTCAAAGTAGTAGATACGAGACCTCGATAGACCTCTGCGAATCCATGCTCTCTCACCATCGTGACCAGAGCGTTCGTTCCACCGGCGTACTTTCGTGCACCAGACTTTGCATCGTCAATGCTGTTATTTTGATTAGTCGAGCACTCAAAATCAATGTTCTTGAATCAAGGTGTATCTGATTTCGGGAGTTGCTGATCATACTTACAGTGCTGTTTTCACTCTCTCAGTTGGTGTCACCGCTACAACACTTTCTACAGATCCGGCAATCATACCAGCTAGAATACCCCTTGCCGGAGTCAGGCGACCCTCGTCGTCCATCAAGGAGTTCCTGATAGAGCCAAATGACAGGAAGCGTACTCCGGCTTTGAAAGTCGTTCCCTAAGGATGGAAGATGAGCATACTGCGCAGCGAAGCAAACATAGAAGCCTCACAATGATCAGTGTTGAGCAGCCTGTGTAGATGGCTCTCGGCCCATCCTGTCGAGCAACTTGGAGCAGTACTGCGAATGGGTTTTTGGCACCTGTCGAGTGGAGCTGCGCTCTCGTCTTTGCGAACTCGAAGGGATACTTTGGGGCGGGGTTGAAGTAAGCGTGAGTAATGATAAGGACTGCACCAAAGCAGCCTGAAAACACTTACTGTAGTTGCAGCTTCAACAGCTCCAGCAATGCCGCCCGAGATTAGAGATACTCCTGGCGACGTTGTGGGCTTAACAGCTAGTTTAGACTTCTTATGCGGCGGGGTCGTGGTAAGGGTGACACCGCCAGGTGAAGCAGTTGAAGTGATAGATGCCATGGTTTGTTTGAAACTTCAATACCTCTAGTAACGATCGAGTAAATTTCTTCGAAGTTTATTGAGGAGAAGTCACCGAACCACGCAGAAAAGAAAAGACATGAAAATATCAAGTGGGTGAAAGCGTTGGGAAGATGACTGGTCGCATGAGGTGTTGTTCACGGCTTCGATGACGAAAGGCGAGTATCTCTATCAATTGGAAGATAACACCAGATGACTCTGGTTACTCAAACAAAACGCACTCACAGATTGTGGTCCTCCCGACTCCTCGTTCGTTCTTGACAAGGGCGACTCTGGAGATCCCGCGGGAAGAAGACGGACTTGCAGACGGCTGCCGATGCTCCAGCCCGGCCAATTAGAATCCTTCCCGAGCCCGCGACCCGTCCAGACTTGGTAACTCCAAGGTCACCTTGTTCCCGCGGCAAGCTTCCCGTGCTCGCTTTCTTCCAAAACCACAGCACCCCGGAGCAAACATTCTCGAGTCCACCAGCAAGCCATCCACGGATACTGCTTTACTCCTCAATTCCCGCTCATCTCACTATGGGTCCGAAATCAGGTAATGCCACCACGGCTTCCGGACGTCCCCGAAGGCGGGCCGTCGAAGCATGCTCGTTCTGCCGACGGCGCAAAGTTCGTCACTCTCAACTTCGCAGCGCCGTAGAGATGTCTAATCGCCTTCCAGATCAAGTGCAATAACGAACAGCCTACGTGTGCTAATTGCAAGACATATGGCAAAGACTGTGTCTATGAGCCTCTGGCTAGCCCTGACGCAAGCACACTGCACTCAACACCAACACGACGTCATGCCGAGCGCCAAAGAGGTGCTTTGAGGGGCACGAGACGGGAAACCCACACCCCGACAAGTGTCCGGGATGGTAGTGTACGCAATGACACTCCCGCGGATCGCAACGACGCCGCGCGCTCACCAAACCCCGATGACCACGATCCTTCTACCCCTTCACCCCGGCTTACCAGGACAGAACGCCCGGAGAACTCAGCGGAACGGGCGTCTTCCCATCGCGGGGATGTATCTCGTATCGTGGTATCCGCAAATGGAGTTTCGAGCTACCATGGCCGCACCAGTGCATTATTCGAGGAGAATCCCCAGGAGCGATTGTCGGTAGCTGATCTGCGCCCCCGGATGCCAGATGACTGGATCGAGAAAGGCCTGGTTGCAGAGACAGCCAAACAACGTGGGTTGCATCCTCCAGAGCCTCGGACAACAAGTCTGGCCTCTAACAGTACGTAGGTCAACTTGAAGAGTTCAATCATCGAGCGGGAACGCTCGATTTTGACGGCGTGGACCCAGAGCTTGGCATGCATCTCTTGTCCCTGCACTGGAATCGCCAGCATCACTCATTCTTGCTCACCTATCGACCCGCATTCATGCGAGATATGGCTTGTAATGGGCCATACTTCTCCAAGATACTCTTGAACGCCATCTACTTTGGGGCTTCCAAGTTCAGCCCTCGGAGAGAGGTACGGAGGGACCCCAATGATGTTCGTACTGCCGGCTGGGCTTTTCGCGAGCGTGTGCGCAAATTACTCGGTGATGCGCTTGATAGTAGTGATATTACAACGATTCAAGCTTTGCTGGTGATGACGAACTCGCTGTTTGCGCTAGGGGATGAGAGAAGCGCGGCTTGGTTGTATGCTGGTTTGGCATTCCGAATGATCATAGACCTGGGCATGCATGTAGATGCTCCAGGTCTTGGTGTAACACGCAAATTTTCTGATGAAGATCTAGAGATACGTCGGCGGGTCTTCTGGGGGGCATTCGGTAAGAAGCACTTGGATCATCTCAGCAAGCTTAGGGACACTGACGCCATTTTTAGTTGTCGACAAGATCCAGAGTCTGTATCAAGGGCGTCCAGCATCCCTGAAAGAGTCTGACACCCTGGTACCGATCAAGTTCCTCGACACATTTGAAGAGTTTGAGAACTGGAAGCCGTTTGCCTACTCTGCCGACGCCACTAACTATCCTGGTTCGCCCGCCTATAGTGTATCGACATTCACGTATCTGTGTCGTCTCTCAGTCGTCATGAGCGATATACTGAGTTGCATCTACACGGAGAGGGCATTCGATAAGAGTGCTGCGGAGCTTTCCACAATGTTACAGACCTTGAGCTCGAAGTTGGCAACTTGGAAGGATGCACTCCCAGCACATCTTATCTTTGATCCAAAAAGCAATAATGCTGTGCCGCCACCGCATGTCCTTAGTTTGCAGTGAGTCTATGAATTCTTTTTGAGAAACAATGATCGACTGACTTCTACTCAGCGCCATGTACCATGTTCTTACCATCCTTCTCAATCGCCCGTTCGTAGCTGATGGCCATCTTTACAACACGTCTCGCTCCATCTCTGTCAACTCATTCATCACTTGTGCGTCTGCGGCCGACAGCATAGTGAGCGTTCTTCGAGTCTATGATAGGGTATTCTCCGTTCGTCATGCGCCATATTTGATCTCGTATGCCACGTACGTTGCGGCAACGATACACGTACGAATAGCTGCCAAAAGAAGCACGGAATCGGAGGCTCGAGAACGTCTGGAAACTTGCATGTCGGTGTTCCGTGAAAATCAAGAAACAAACTGGGCTGTCAGGAGGGCCAAAACAATAGTCGAAGGCTTGATGGCGAGACTTGGTGTTAGTCTCGGTGAGGAACAAAGCTCACAGCCGAGGAACCGCATACAAGCCAGCAAAAGAGCGCGTTTAGCCATGGTCACCACTCAGGACAATGCTGAAGGTTCAAATAACCTGCCTCAAGTATTTCAGAGTCATGCGCCTCAGACAGCAGCCGAGACCGAAACACCTCCATTAGGATGGTCGGATATCGATGGGATCATTCAGAGTTTTGCAAGAGGTCAAGATCCTAACGCAGCTTCAGCGGATCCGGCACAAGCAGATGTTCATTTCCAACAAGTCCCACAGCCCGCGTATAACCAAGCTTCTAGCTTTGGTCCCTCGGGTTTTGGTGGCAACCCAGCCTGGTTCCAGGGGGTGCCAGAAGGAGATGGCGGTTCGGCCTCCTTTGATGACTTACTCTTTGGCTTCAACGGATCCGCTTTGGATAGCATGTTCTCTTGATCTACTCGGGAGAATGCTTTCACCTCTACCGGGTGCGATATCTGTTGCAATCATGAACCGACTCTTTATCCGGGCGCAAAGTGTTGACGCTCCACTGTTTTGATTGCACAGGCGGGAGTGGTGCTTCTCGATCCCGCGGGAGACTTTCACTCCCGCGGCTATGCGCCACTGACACGACCTCACCCTGACGCGATGACGGCAAAGACAGCAGAGACTTTATTAATGTTCAGTGCTTGCGTGTAATAGCGAGGTTATCTCGATGGCAAACACCGTTTTACCCAGACCTTCTTAAGCTCACAAACCCTTTCCATCCAAGAGTTGGTATAAGACTGGTTGTTATAGTCTCACCAATGCCATTCAACATTAGAGTCAACAACACACTTATTGGATCTCGGAGGTTCCTTCATCAGCTCTCATATCCTACCTTACCGCCATCCTTCCCAGTTCACATCCCCTTCACTATCCCAATCATGGCGATAACACCAGCAACCACGAAACGCCGGGTAAGGCACTCTCTTCCCGCGGTCCTGATGCGAGCAGGTACATCAAAAGGCCTCTTCATCCACCGGTCTCATCTGCCGCCATCTGAAGCAGAGTGGGCTACTCCACTCCTCGCCGCCATGGGATCCAAATACAACGATGCCCGCCAAATCGACGGTGTTGGAGGGGGAAGCAGCGTGACCTCCAAAGTTGCCGTGGTGTCACCATCCACCAGGCCAGGCGTGGACGTCGAGTACACCTTTGTCCAAGTGGCCGTCGGAAGCGAGACTGTTGATCTCAGCGGGAACTGCGGCAACATCTGCTCAGGGGTTGGTCCTTTTGCCGTGCAAGAGAGATTGGTTAGTATGATGCCTGGTTCTCGGGTAGTCGACGTGCGGATATTCAATACCAACACATCGAAACTCATTGTGGAAACGGTCTACCTTGACCAAGACGGAAACGCGGAGGAGGATGGGGATTGCCTCATCCCGGGCGTCAAGGGGCCCGGCAGCGAGATCAAGGTTGCTTTCGTCGAGCCGGTGGGCAGCATGAAGGGCAAGCTCTTCCCCAGCGGAAATCGATTCGAAAGGATCCTCGTAGAGGAAGTGGCTTCTGTTGGTGACTTTGTGGTGGACGTGACTCTCATCGACTCTGCGAATCCTTTCGTTCTTGTTGATGCTCAGAGTCTACCCGCGGAAGTCAAAACACAGTCCCCAGACTTTCCCCTATCCATCGAAGTCGCCGAGGCCATCCGGAGGCAAGGAGCTGTACGGATGGGACTTGCCAGCACAGTCGAGGCCGCCGGTCTGGTTAGAGGGACTCCGAAGCTGGCGTATCTTTCGCCGCCAGTTGGTAGTCACAGAGATGCGGCGGATATTCGAGTACAGGCTTACAGCATGGGAAAGCCTCATCCGAGTTTGCAACTGACGGGTGGTGTGACTCTGGCATATGCCGCCATTAAGGAGGGGACCGTTGCGCACCGTGTTTCGAATCGGGATTCGGGGCTGGAGGGCATGCCAACACCTAGGAGAACGCCGAGCCCGTCGACTACGAATGCCTCAGAAGGCCCTATCATTGATGGCCAAAAGATTCAAGGCACCGTTCGCATACAGCATGGCAGTGGAATCATGGAGGTAGAAGTGTGGGCTCGTGACGAAGAAGAAGGCCTTGCGGTAGATCGATGCGTAGTAACGAGGACTGCACGGAGGCTGATGGAGGGGAACGTGTTTTACTATTCCTGAAATTGTCTGTCATTTGAAGTTTGCGCATAGCCGGTAGATTTGATAATGAGATTCCAGCTCCTCTGCTTGATTCTTTGGTGTCGCAGCAGGCCGTCGCTCACATCCTGCGTTTCTCAGCTGTGCATGGCGTTGCGACCCTCGACGCCGCACACCGCCCACAACCCGCGCATCGCGTCCTATTCGCAATCGTCCTGGCTAAAATCAAAGAACTCTGTCCTGACAACAGTATTCATCTTACAACTGATGCAAAAAGCCAAAAAGAACTCCTCGACGGGGAATTGAACCCCGGTCCCCTGCGAATCCTGGGATTTCCCCGGTGACAAGCAGATATCCTCACCACTAGACTATCGGGGATTGGTGGATGTTAACATCCAGTGATAGTTGGTTGGAGGGGAGGGGACTCAGCGGGTATATGTAGCTTTGGGGTGTGGGGCCCGCAAGTGCCTTGTGACCCACCCTGCCCTGCTAGCACCTTCCGAGCGCACGACGCGGGAAGGCACGAGTGGAGGATATGGCAGGAGTGATCTGGCGGCACAAGATTCTGCAGAGGTGCCTACCCGCCTTATTGTCGAAGGCAATGTATGGGGGCAATTTTGGGAAAGAGCAATGTCAGCTGTTTCTGCTGAAATCTTTCAATTCCCGTGAGCGCCAGATGAACCGGGTCAACTTGATGGTGAGTGGTGTAAGTAGCACAAAGACGTGTATTCTGCAAGAAATGACTTCTCAAAATTTTAGCAAGAAGCATCGTATCTTCAGCAGAATTGTTGTTTCGGAATAGCTGCAGCACCCTTTGTCAAACCTGACCAGAGATAGGAGATCCGAGAACCCAGAGCTTCGCGGAATAGTAACATGTCAAATTGAACATAAAACATCGTGCCTTGGGAATAATTCATTGAGTACAATTGTTCATTTTCAAACATGGTTCCTAAATCCTTCAAGAATCGCATTTAATGCGATTTTCTCTTCCTAATCCTAGGTCCAAGATGACCCTGGTCTATCTCGGTTCAGAGGTGCGAGTGTGAATCTCGCCAACTTTTGCTTCCGATACATAAGGTGTGCCTATGCCTTCGGCTCAGCGGCAGCCTCCTTCTTTTGCGGAATCAGGTTGCGGAGCGAAAGGTCATACACGACATCCTCGACACGCTTGACATCGTACTTGACCGCGTCGACACGCTTGCGGAGGATGTCGTTCTTGAGGTTGAGCAGCTGGAACCCGGCAAACAGGTCCTTGACGAAACTGCTGATCTCGACGGGCATGGAAAAGTCGGCGAGCGTGACGGCGTTGGTGGCGAGACGGGAGAGCTCCGAGGTCAGGTCGGTGAGGGCGAGGAGGTACTCCTCGATGGTGAGGTGGAACGCATCGCGGTCCTTGAGGTTAACAGGGACTGTCAAAGAGTCAGCGCAAGGCGGCCGTGGTTGCCTGCGGGGCAGTTTGGGTGGTACCTTTGAAGATTTCACCGACTTCCTCGAGAGTCAGGAGACGAGCGATGGGGCCGGGCTTGCCATCTGCTGTGAGGCCGCCTAACCATCCGGTAAGAAGGACGGTGAAGATGGCGTTCTGCACTTGGCGGTTCCACTTCTGGTTGTATCTGGCGAGGAGTCAGATGATGGTGCCTGGGCGGCACGAGATGGATGCCTACTTGTAGTATGGGTGCTTGGAAGCGATTTCTTGGAGCTCTCCAATGACCTCAATCTCCTTCTGGATGCCCGCCTGAACGTCAGCCAAAAAGGGGCCGTCTGCGTCAACAGTCAGTCGTGGGTAACTACAGGCGAGGCGACCGACTGCAGTCATGCCTAGTAGAGTACTCACACTGTTGACGAGGGGTGGCGTGAATGCGTGAGAGCAGACCCTGGACGTAGGAGATGGCCCGGTCGAGCTTCTGGACAGTCTGACTCATTTGATCACGGACTTCCTGGTCTTCTTCGATCTTGTTCTTGAGGTGCTCAAAGATCTGGGGGTCGAGCAGGCGGGAGGCCGGCACCTCAACCATGTTGGTGTCGCTGTCCATGGTGAGTGGTGAGGTGTGTGTCTGAGCGGCTGTGTTGTTAAAGATCTGGGAGATGTATGAGCGATGATGCAAAAATACGGTCGATTTGAAGTCAACAGGTTTGATCGGCAAAATACGTGCGATTGTTCAGCCCTGCCTCTGAAGCAACAACAATCTTGGTGGTGAGTTTGAATTTGGTAGATGAAAAGAGCCCCGCGATTTGTGACGTCGTTACGCTGGAGGAGGCGACCAGAAGAAAAGTCAGAGTTTTACTTACGGCAGCGACTGGCTTTTACTGACAAGGAGATAATTTGTCACAACTACTAGCAGTTTAAAGATGTACTGGCAGTCCGGGCGGCTTCACGATGTCATTGATGGTCGAAATCTCGAGGAAAACCATGCAAATGGAAGGCGGTCAGGCCTGACAATTGGAGCAGCACTCGCCCAATATGGAGAGCTTCGCTCGACATTCTGCCAGTCTTAATGCAGGTAGTATCTGACTACAACATTCAAAAAATCAATCACGATAGCAGCTCAATAGACCACATACTTGAATACTGAACTAAAGCAAGGGACCTTCTTCACACGCCTGGACAACCCAGACAGCGCAATGAAAGATCAGGATTTGCGTCGCCTGGAGGCAGTGAAATACCAGGGACACGGTGGAGAGGGCATACAGCAAGCCGCAGAGGCCCATCTCCTGGAGATCAAAAATAGGAATAATCAATGTGATGCCAATAGGCATCTTTCAGAGATTAAACTGAAAAGAACAGATACTACACTTGATCTAAGCCAAAAGGCAAAGAAGAGCTAAGGAGAAAAGAAGAAAACAGGCACAGGCGCGGTGGGTGGAGGGGATTATATAGGTTTGTGGACTGGTCTGTGCAGAGGGCACGATCAGTAAAGATACGTACCCCGGGAGAACTTAAGGCCAAATTTTTGCTGTGCAGTACGTACATGTACGTATTACTGGGCCGTCCTGCCTAAAGTTGATGCCTCATCACGAGCTCACGATGCACGTATACCTACCTAAGATCCTGGCGAGAATTGAGGCATTCATTTGAGGCAGCACTTAGGTCTGCTGATGACTGAGGCAGTTGAATCCTGTTTCCTTCTGCAGGACACATTTGCATACTGTAAGGTAGTGTGCGATGAGCTCCCGCGTTCGAGGTATACAGGTGATATTCAGGACTTCAATAGCGTACTGGTCAAGTCTGGTTGACTGCCCTGGCCATACAGGCTTATTCTTTCTTCTACATTAATGCATACAGCCTTGTCAAAATGTTTGCTTCGTGTGTGTCGTTTATTCGGAGCAGGTCATTGACGACCTCATGGGTGCTAGTTGATGCAGACCTCACTTCGGGATGGCAGCTGTAGGATAGCAATGGCTCGTGGTGCCGGCGATTTCACGTCATAATATGCGTTGGTTCACCTTCACATCATGTTACGATGACCACGTCTGTCTCCATTTCGATGCTGCGGCGAGTATAAGAAAAGAAACTCCAGACCAACCTGTCCATCATCTACAAATGTTGCCGTCAGACTATCAAATAGAGGGAGCCAGCAATCCCCGAACCAACTTGAGCTATCCTCATTTCCTAGGAACACCCCCATCGATTATGAGCTCCGTCGTTGCGTGACGGAAATCCGGGGAGTTTGAATGACCGCCCAGTCCGACCAGGCTTCAATATCGATCCTGGCTGAATCCAAACGAGCAATGCATGTCATGCAGGCATCGTCTAGCAAAAGGGGAGCTCCCGTCTGGTCGGAGATTTGGAGCTTCAGGGCAAACATCGATCGATATGCGCCGTCAGCGCAGGCGGGTGCCGCATGGCTCAAGTGCAGCGGCGAGCTTCGTCTAGCAGCGCGGTAGCGGGGGCCCAAAGTTCGGAATCTTTGATGACCGGATCTTAATTGAAGCAAAACCAAGCTTCTTATTGGCGGGTCGTCTAGACGAGAGGTGCATATGCGGGTCCCCTGCAGCCGAGGAAGCTCCCGAGAAGGTTAGAGTCGGTACTTGTCATTTACACTTAGTGACCACACAAGAACAAGTACCTCCAATTTCAACTCTGTTCGTGACCCTTGACTACCGGCAGAAAGGGGGCAAACACAAATGTCAACAAAATTTTGAGTGGCAGAAGACAGGCGGCAAGGGCCCAATCGAAATCCGAGGACACACTACCAAGTTTGACGTGAAGCCGTCCGGGTCTGAGTCTCTCATCTTCCCGTCCTGCACGCCACCCCTCGACGCCTCGTCTGGTCGTACTCGGATTCTCCGTCCCAGACCGCCTCCACGTCCCCGATTGTCTATGCCTTGGACCTTGGACGAACATCGTTGCTGCTGAACAATCCCATCCTCGAACCCCGGCACGGACTTTGGCATCTAGCTCAGCTACACGAGAGGTGCATGACCCCACGCTGAAGATTTCTGTCATTCTGTATAAAAAGAGGCAGTAAACATGACGGGCAGATACTCGTTGCGCCAGACTCCTAGGTTAGTCGAATTGTGATTTCTCTTTCCCTCTCTGGCTTGGAACCATTTCGCGAAGCAATTGGATCTATTGCGAATACATCAGACGACACTTTGGCGCACTCCCCATTGCCAACTTTGTCGCAAACCGAAACCATGGCCGCCCTTGTTTCCTCTCCCAATGGGTCAATACTCTAGCGAACTACTCTCTGCTTATCTATGCTAACCCACTGAACAGGAAGAAGGAGCTCTTTGAGGGCATGGTCGAGACCCCTCGGCGTGTTTCTTCTAGACGCAAGTCTCCCGAGGCCGCCACCGGCGCAGAGGTTACCGAGTCGAAGCCGCAACCCCGTGCCCCGAGACGACGCACCACGGGAAAGTTCCGCGAGGAGCTCGACGATGAGGCAGAGACGGCACCGGCGAACGGCAAGGCCGACTTTGACGAATCCCTGACCAACGGCCACACCAATGGCCACGCCAACGGATACACCAATGGACATGTCAAGGAGGAGCCCATCGCCAACGGCCACAGCAATGGGTACGCCCAGGTGAAGGTTGAGACAGCGACCAATGGGCATGCCGCCACGCCCAAGGAGGATGCCCAGCCGACGTATAAGAAGGGCACCATCATCGACGGCTGGGAGGTCGGTACCGACCCCAAGATCGATGCTTCGGGCGAGTTCGAGTTCGGAGGCAGCATTGGCACCATGTCGCTGATGATCGGCTTCCCTCTGCTCATGTGGTACATGTGGATTGGAGCCACCTACTATAATGGCGGCGTCCCTACCCGTGAGCAGGGCCAGAGCTGGGGCGAGTTTGCCCGTCATCTCGTGGACCTTGTCTACACCGGCGCATTCCCCTCTCTGCGCGCCTGGCGCATCTACTGGACCTTCTTCACCTTCGAGGGCATCTGCTACTGTGTGTTGCCCGGTGTCTGGGCCTGGGGCAAGCCTCTGGCTCACGAGAACGGCAAGCAGCTCAAGTACTTCTGCAACGCCTACGTCAGCTTCTACTTCACGATTGCGGTCATGGCCGTCCTTCACTTCACCGGACTGTTCCCTCTCTACACCTTCCTCGACGAGTTTGGCCCCCTGATGTCTGTGGCTATTCTCAGCGGCTTCCTCGTGGCCTTTGTTGCCTACTTCTCCGCTCTCTGGAGAGGTGCCCAGCACCGCATGACCGGCTACCCCATCTACGACTTCTTCCTTGGCGCCGAGCTGAACCCCCGCATGTTTGGCATCTTGGACTTCAAGATGTTCTTCGAGGTTCGCATTCCCTGGTTCATCCTCTTCGGTCTCAGCTGCGGTGCTGCTGCCCGCCAGTACGAAAAGTACGGCTACGTCTCTGGCGAAGTGCTCTTCCTGGTTATGGCCCACTACCTCTACGCCAACGCCTGCGCCAAGGGTGAGCAGCTCATCGTTCCGACCTGGGACATGTACTACGAGAAGTGGGGCTTCATGCTCATCTTCTGGAACCTTGCTGGTGTCCCTCTCTCGTACTGCCACTGCACCATTTTCCTGGCCAACCACCACCCTTCCGAGTACAAGTGGAACCCCATCGCGCTCGGCTTCCTCTTCGTCTCATACCTCTTCGTCTACTGGATCTGGGACACCACCAACAGTCAGAAGAACGGTTTCCGCGCCCAGGAGCGCGGCCAGCTCGTCGCCCGCAAGACCTTCCCCCAGCTCCCGTGGCAGACGGTCAAGAACCCCAAGACTATTACCTCGGACAAGGGCGATGTCATCCTCGCTGACGGCTGGTACGGCTACGCCCGTAAGATCCACTACACGTGCGATGCTTTCTTCGCCATCTGCTGGGGTCTGATCACGGGCTTCAAGAGCCCCTTCCCCTGGTTCTACCCCGTCTTCTTCTGTGGCATGATTGCCCACCGTGCTGCCCGCGATATCCACCGCTGCCGCCAAAAGTACGGTGATGCCTGGACCCAGTACGAGCGCGAGGTTCCCTACCTCTTCATCCCCGTAAGTTCCGATGCTTCTGCTGTGACGAAAGGAACCAATGGCTAACTCCTCTTCAGTACGTCATCTAAGTGACGACTCCACCAAACACTCCCAAAAACTAGGCGTCTTATGCCACGGCCATCGGGCCATTTCTGTCTGTACATAGTTCGCTTCTTCACCTGGAGCCGGTCGCCAAGTGGTTTTAAGACCGGTAGCCATCGGCAAGGGGTAATGGTACACGAATGGTGAAAAAGAAAAGTTGCCGGCATCATGTGCGAGAAGACATGGTTGGCATAAAGACTTGTAATTATATAACAGAAGTGGTGCCTTGTTCTTTGGCATCACCGCGGCTTTCTTTGTCACGTGTGGGCAGCGTTTTGTTAGGCACGCTGTCCTCTGAAATCGAGTAAAATGAGTAAAATGAAACATGTTGAAAGATCACACCTCTGGCAAAGTGACCCAGTTGCTTGTGAGGCTCCTTATGCAAAAAGTACCTTGATACATCCCGGTCACGATAGAAAAGCAAAACTTTGCTAGAGTTTACAGTTTCTGGGTTGTTGCTGTGGACAAGCAGGATGGAGTATTCTACCAAGGTTTGCAGGACCACGAGGCTGCTCACCCATGTTGAAAGGGCTAGAGCCTAGCACTATTCACTTTGGTTGACGTAAGGTACAGACCAAGGCAAGCCCAAGGTCTCAAGCATTCCCGCCCGTAAGTAGCTTCACAGTCCATTACTCAGCCTGAATGGTGCTTCCCCACAAGAGCATGTCACTGTTTGTATCCGTCTCGATACCCTGTTAGGCTTTGGCAAGACATGACAGTCGGACTAGTCTGGGTTAAGCACCGAGAAGGTGGTTCTTGAAGAATACGAATGCAATCTGGTCTGTTCCTGATCTTTGGGCTGTTGGCCAGAAATCTGACTTGAAATCTCCAATCCGCTCAGCATCAGGCTGTACGAGTAGTAAAGATAAGCGCCAGGTCAGCGTACACTCAGTACGGAATCACCCGACATCACACTGTGGAAGCATAGGGGGTGGATCTTTAACAAAATAGTAGACGCATAAAAAACACATTGTCGCAACCTAGACTACAATTCCGTTCTCCCATCACCGATGTCTATGCTGAGCAATCGCCCCCCTGAATGGATAGCATACCTTGATGGCAAAATAGTACATATACGTTTGATCCATGATCGAAGCAGTCCCCGATCGTCCCAAACATGGCATTTCGTGACCCTTGACCGTTCCCACGCCTATGCCTTTAAACCTTTGATTCGAGTTTTCGACGCGCCTGCTGATGATATTTGTCCGCCCTGTGGCAGTGATGCCCGTGCAAGTTGTGGCTTAAGTACATCTTGTCAACCGTTCAACCGAGCATTCGTCGTATTGGTGTTGTCGCTTAGCAGGTGACGTCCTGAGTGGCCTTGGAGTTCATAAGAAGGGCGACAATCAAACCGTAAAGACCTAGAGACAGTCATGTCAGTAAAGAGCGCGTTTACAAGCGGGGTTGATGTGGCGTACCCAAGACTTCGGCGAAAATGAGAATCAGAATCATGCCGACGAAGAGACGGGGCTGTTGAGCAGTTCCACGGACACCAGCATCACCGACGATACCAATGGCGAAACCAGCAGCAAGACCAGCAAGACCGACAGAGAGACCAGCACCGAACTGGATGAAACCAGTGTAGAGGGCCATCTGCTGCTGAAGACCGTCGGAGATAAGCACGGAAACGACGAGACCGTAAATAGCAATGATACCAGCCATAATGACGGGAACAATGTCTACATGATGATTAGCAAATGTCGAGGCAGCTAGACCATGCATGCATGGCCGTCGATTGTGGATGCTGGTTCGTACTCTTCACGATCAGGTCAGGGCGGAGGACACCCATAGCCGAGATACCGACACCGGACTTTGCGGTACCGTAAGAGGCACCCAGGCAGGTGAAGACAATGGCGACGGTGCAACCCATGGCTCCGAAGAAGGGCTATAGCGAGTTAGCGATGTCGTGGACGCGATGTCGAACGATGCCCAAATGGCTCATCCCAGGTAGGAAGGGGGCGACGTCATGGATCGATGACTCGGTAGGCACAGGGAGGACGAACCGCATAGACGGGGCTGTGACATTATCGCGTTAGCAGATGAGCTTCAGAAACGTAGTACAAAGCTGTTCGCGCAAGTTGGGCATCGAGAATGATGGAGTTGGGAGCTTCGATTGATGGATAGGAGCTCGTCAACGGGGGCAAACAAGCATGTTGTTGACGTACCAAAGCTCGGAAGGCATTTTGGCGGTTTATGTGGATTTTGACTGGCTGAAAAAGTCGAAGAAGACGTCGAGACGAGTCGAAGATGAAGGAAATGCGGCGGCAGCTGGGCTGGGGACGATTGCGGTGATGATTGTTGGGGCGGGCGATGTTCGATGCTGCGTCGGCGACTACTCGAGATGAGGTGTGCTTGTTAAGATCTCGTTTCCAGGTTGGCCTTCTGGTTGGTTGCAAGGTTTTGCGGCGCGTTCACAGCTCCGTGCCCTTACGTAATACAAGGAGGAGGCGGTGCCCGGATATCGGCTAAATATGGTCTCCGAGGTGGCTGGCTTGGAGCTGCAGGAGCCAGGCCCCACTTTCCAACGGAATCTACCGTCGAAATTTGGGGAAGTGGGATATTTTTTTTTCATCGGCTTGAGTTTGAACTTTTTGGATCTTCACGTTCACCACCGTACTTTCACCGATCTTTTATCTCACCATCAGGGCGAGCCAACGCAAGGAACCCTGCACCATAACATCGGTAAGTTTTTGATACCTCTCGATTGCCAATTGCAAATAGCTGATTGTCTCCTGCAGACATCACTCGACACCTTACATCCTCAACAATGTCTGAATCCGCTGCCTGGCCCCTTGCCGACGATGCTCTTCAGCAAGAGCTCCTGGACATGGTCCAGCAGTGCCAGCACTACCGCCAGCTGAAGAAGGGCGCCAACGAGGCTACCAAGACCCTCAACCGTGGTGTCTCTGAGCTCATCATTCTCGGTATAGCCACCCCGTCGACCGTTGTTGACGAAATAATGCTAACTTTGCCGACCAGCTGCGGACACCAACCCTCTCTCGATCGTTCTCCACCTTCCCCTCCTTTCTGAGGACAAGAACGTCCCCTACGTTTACGTCAAGTCCAAGACCGCTCTTGGCCGTGCCTGCGGTGTCTCCCGCGCCGTTATTGCTTGCAGCATCACCTCCAACGAAGGCTCTGAGCTCGCCGGCCCCATCCGCGCCCTCAAGGACAAGATCGAGAGACTCGCCATCTAAGATACCCCCGACGTAGGATAATGGGCAGTGTATTATGATATATCTTGGGAAATGCTGAAAAATGGTTTGGAATGGAAAAGTCTGAATTGTTGATAGGCGTCGACTAGCTATTCTCGGGTCCTATTCTCTCCGTGGTATCTGCTACAGTGACGGAACGCAAGGTAACTGGCTGCGGAAACAGCTATGTGAATGCGCCTGTCTGTAAGTGGACTCCTGCGAGTTGGTGTGGTCCAGAAAACTGTCAATTGATGATTGTCGAAAACTCAAACTCCTACATATGCAATGGCCACAATTTGTGCATTTAGCGGTGCTTGACTCGGGACGAGCCAGTGGGGGAACCTGCCACCTACAATGGAATAACAACTCTACCTGAAGAGCAAGTAAGGCGGTTTCTTACTTTGACTACCCACGCTACCTTGCTTGCTTGCCTTATCTTCGACGATTGGATTGTCGGTGAAGACGCGAAAACGAATGCAGACCTGGCGTCTAATGAGCAGACTGAACCACTCATCGGGCCGGTGTCTTAGGCGTGACCTGCGCTTGCTGTCTCAGCGACTCGCACCTGGCCCAGCAAATGCACACTGACGTTACCCCGCGGCCCACCACCCATGTCATAGCTACATGCACGATTTTTGGCCCGCCATCATCAGCAGTTCGTGTCGCGCACAACGTCCCATTCTTCTCTGCATCCTCTTCCCACGCCGCCAATGTTGTCATTGCGGCCCAGCATAACTAATAATTCTTTCGTGCATTCTTGGGTGAATCTTTTGGCTTGTCTCCTCTCCTCATAGAATCCCCATTTCTTCTCGCGCATTACGTTAATTCCGAATCGCACTCCGGACCGCGCTGAATCGCAAGATGCCCGGTATCGCTCGCAAGATCATCATCTGCGCCGCGGTCGACGGCCTTATCATACAACCATTTGTGACCAAAGGACAGCGCCCTGCGCAGCCGGTCAGGATCAAATATGGCGACGCATCAATAAGTTCTGCTCCGCGAGAGCAAATTCCCGACCTTTCTCAGCCAAATTCTTCCTTCGAGGCCTTCGGCGTTATAGGTGCGGCACCCGAGCTTCTAGCTGCACTCCATAATTGTTGTAGCTTTGATGTTAATTCTCGGGATATGCAGGTTTGATCACAGTTTCCCGTCTCAGCTATCTTATCACGATCACTCGGCGCCAGCAAGTGGCGCAAATCTGCGGTTTTCCGATCTATGTCGTCACCGAAGTCGCAATTACCCCATGCGCATCGCAACAAGAAGCTGGAGAAGCTATCGCCAAGACAGCCCTAGAGCTTCAAGATCGCACCACAGACAAGGACGCCAACGATAGCGACAGCGATGACTATATCGAGCTCCCAGCAAGCGGGGATGAAGTCGAAGACCCTGCGCAAGAAGCTAAAGCCGACAGCGACAAGGATCTCGAGACTGTAAAGAGTACTGTAGCGAAAGATGTTATCGGCAGGAGAGGAAGCTACGGGAGGTTCGCGCAGACCTGGTTCAGCAAGAGCGGATGGACGCAGGATCAGAAGAGATCAGCAGGCTGGAGCGGAGCCGCGCACCAAGTACGACGGTCCGTTGACCACAGTCCAGTCAAGAATGCTCCTCCGCGGCCATCTGTTGACGAGGTTAACGAACCAACAACGGCATCCACACTTCTGCCGAAGCTTCTGCGGATGACCCAGATCTTTTACGGCTCATCTAGAAGCTTCTTCTTTTCTTACGACTTCGATATCACGCGGCGTTGGTCGAGTCGTTCCCATGCTCAATCCGATGAGATACCTCTTCATGAGCGCGTGGACCCGATGTTCTTCTGGAACAAGAACACATTAAAGCCATTTACGGAGGCTGGAGAGGATGCTTTGTTGCTTCCGCTCATGCAGGGCTTCGTTTCTCAGAAGAGCTTCGTAGTAGATAGCAGCCCTCCTCAACACGACGAAGGTCTCGGGGATTCTGTGGAGCTATCGACCATGAGACAGCCCGAAGCTGAACCATCTTCACCCTCACCGGAAGCAGTCCGTGACTCGATCGATCTGCGCTCTACCGAAAAGAAGTTTTTGTTGACAATAATCTCGCGGCGTTCGACACAGAGGGCTGGTCTCAGATACTTGAGACGAGGCATCGATGAGCAGGGTTATGTTGCCAATGCGGTTGAAACTGAGCAGATTCTTTCGAGCACTTCCTGGGACAAGCCTTCAAAGATTTACTCCTTTCTTCAAATCCGGGGCAGCATTCCGCTATTCTTCACACAGTCGCCGGTCTCTCTCAAACCTGCGCCAGTCATTCAGCACTCGCCCGAAGCCAACTATACTGCAACGAAAAAGCACCTGGAGAGGCTGAAGTCAGAATATGGGCTTTTGCAGATTGTCAATCTCGTTGAGAAACATGGCGTAGAAGCAACTGTCGGCAATCAGTATGAAAAGACAGTGCAGCGGTTGAACGAGGAAGAAGCGAAAGACCAAGATGACACCGTCGGTTTTGAATGGTTTGATTTCCATTCAGCTTGCAAGGGAATGAAATTTGAGAACGTCAGCCAGCTCCTCGATACTCTCCGCGACAAATTGGAAGGTTTCGGAAGCACCGTGGAAGAGGCTGGTCAAATCACTGCAATACAACATGGCGTCTTGCGCACAAACTGTATGGACTGCCTCGACAGGACAAACGTGTGTCAGAGCTCGTTTGGAAAATTCATGCTCGAGTCCCAGTTGAAAGCCGAAGGCTATGATCTTGCCGCTCAAGTCGACCAGCAAACGCAGTGGTTCAACACGCTCTGGGCAGACAATGGTGATGCTGTGTCGAAGCAGTATGCATCTACTGCGGCCATGAAGGGTGACTACACAAGAACGAAGAAGAGGAACCTTGGCGGCACATTGAATGATCTTGGCCTTTCTTTGACTCGGTACTACAATGGGTAAGATGTTTTGGTCTTAAAACTTTTTTTCTATCATATACTCTTGCTAACCCCAAACCTAGAATGGTCAACGACTACTTCAGTCAAGCTGCCATCGATTTCCTTCTGGGCAACGTGAACTCCATGGTCTTCCAAGAGTTCGAAGCTGAGATGATGACAAAAGACCCTGCTGTCTCGATGCTGAAAATGAGGGAGCAGGCTATCGAGCTTTCTCAAAGGCGCGTCATTTCTGACGAAAACGAAGAGTTCATGGGTGGTTGGGTCCTCTTCAGCCCGCATCAGTCCGACTCCTTGCGGGCCATGCCCTTTGAGGAGGTGGTACTACTTCTAACGGATGCTGCGTTATATCTCTGCCGATTTGACTGGAACATGGACAAGGTCTCTTCGTTTGAGCGGATTGATCTAGCCCACGTTGTCGGTATCAAGTTTGGAACATACATCATCTCGACAGTCTCTCCCGGGCAGACGGACGAGATGAAGAATGTTGGCTTCGTTGTGTCGTACCAACCAGGCAAGAACGACGTTACGAGGACGAATACCAGGACCTTTTCGAACCTGGGCATTGCAAAGACCAAGACGGATGCGGCCCCTTCGGAGCAACAGCAGCAGAAGCAACAACAGCAACAGCCTCAGTCTGCCTTGAGCAGCTTGCTGGGTGGTGGGCGCCCCAAGGCGCCGCCAGTGCGCAAGCTCGCTTTCAAGGCCCCGTACTCTCAGTCATCCGCCGCCGTGACGGGCGAAGAACCCAAGCTCAGCGAGATCCAGCAGGTTGTCAGCATTTGCGCAGACATTGAGCGGCTGGCGTTCCTGAGTCAGCCTGGCAAGGAGAAGCCGGGCACCGAGAGCATAATCGAGAAGGGCGAAATCATTTCGCTAGAGGAGGCGAGGCAAAGCACTGGGCTGCTGGACCACATCAGCTACTCTCTGAAGAGGCTCGTCTGGGCATGAAGTGGCTTTTTCTGGCACACACACGCGCACACATACACCATTGTTGCTTTTCTGGCATTGTTTGTTCCTTGCTTTAGGGTTTCGTTGCGCGATACAGGTGCATTTGGTAGCGCATATTTTCCAGAGGGATTGGGTAGTTTAGAGACTCGGCGAGGCGGAACCAGACGGAGTCATTGGACTCGACCTTTTCCCACCGACAGCCCGGGAACACGCCGTCCTTTTGGGGCTTGTTGACGAGAGTGTGGTCCATGAGCCACTGCATGGGGTACTTTTTCGACTCCTTGCCGACGGCTGCCTCGGAGTAGCTCCCGGGGCTGTCGACGACGAGGAGCAGGGAGCCGAGGGGCACGGTGGCGGTCAGGTTTAGGAGGAAAGCGGTGGTCTTGCTGATTCCCGCGGCAGTGTAGAGCTCGTTGAGGGTAAATAGTAATGTGATGAGTAATGCCTCTTTGCCTATCGTTTGAGAGAGCTGGTCCCGTGACATCGCGAGGGCGTCGAGGTGCGAGAAGGAGGAGGAGAGCCGCGCCGCGGGGTCCACGAGGGCTGCGGCGGTGGCTTGGGCCTCGTTTGCGTACCGCGAGGCCGGGGGCGGGACCGTGAGTGCGGCGTGGAGCTTGGAGACTACGGGGGCCCAGGGGGCGGCGTCGAGGCAGGTGATTGTGCCTTTTAGGTAGGCTGGTTGTTGGGAGAGGTAGGCTGCCAGGGCAGCTAGTTCTGCGGCGCCGCCGCCGATGGAGAGGATCTTGATTTCCTTTTTGATTTGTGTCGTCGTCTTGGGGGTGACTGTGGTGTCGGCCTCGGTTGGTTCCGAGGCGGGTGGTGGAGGGGTGACGGCATCGTCCTCCGCTGCGGGAGGAACTTCCTGATCGTCGGTGGAGGGAGGGGAGGAGGAGTTCTGATCCCGGGGCGCATCACCCGTCCTGTCCTCGACGATCAACTTTTGAAGGCCCTCGGCTGCTTCAGCTACCTCAGCCCCAGCCTCGTCTTCAGCCTTCTTGACCTGAACCTCCAGCCCCTCAAGGTGCTCCGCGATACCCAGCAGGACGACGGCGTACGCCAGAGCGCGGGTGGGACTCCACCTCGCAGCATACGCATCCAAGCTCTCGGGTTTCGCAGAAGTGAAGGCGGCGTCAAAGTCGCGGGC